AACAAATTGTAAAATACGTATCAATAAATAAGAGTGAACCGATGTGATATCTTGGGATATACGACGACACCTATTTGCCGTATCGGGGAACGCACCAACGGACAGCAGCCCAGATACAGTCCAAGATGAATTTTATCATAATCTACACGACCTCTTGTGTGAAGCGACCCGAGCTGATATCATGATTTTAGCAGTAGATATCAGTGTTAGAGAAGGCCGGTTGCCTTCAAGTGAGGCACACCTGGTAGGGCCTTTCGGACTAGATTCCTGCCGTTCGGAAAATGGGTAACGGCTGTTGGCTGTATGTTCCGACCACTGCCTATTCCTGGTTAGGGTTTTCATACCCTCATGCCAGGTCTTAGTTTGACCACCCNAATCGCTACCAGCCTTAGCAAACATCGTTCGCCGCGGCAACCTTTCTGACGACATACGTAACACATGTCCCAATCAGCGTAATCTATGGAGGTCGATCACTTGCTCTAGTGAACGACCGCGACTGCCTAAAACTCTACGCCTAACCTCAGCATTGCTAGTCCGGTTACCCCACCAGACACGTGCAATGCTACGTAGACAGCGGTGTTCGAACACCATCAATCTATTTTTATCCTATTATTTCAGTGGCCAAGTCTCTGCGCCGTAGAGCAGGACTGACTGAACTGCTGCAGCACACACTCACACAGCCGGATGTCGCGACGGCGCCACAAATGTCTCAAACTAGCAGATGCCAATCGAGCCTTCTGTATGCGCGCTGACACTTAATCTGTGATGCGTCCGCCGGGTGCGATATAACTACCCAGATAGCAAAATTTGTCTAATTACTCTGCTACTTCCCCAGGCAGGGTGAGACTGAATGCTGGATCAAACCCGTCTTGTAGTAAAATTTTACACTTTGAAGATGCAAAACGCATACCGAACATGGATAGACTAGCACTCAAACTATCCACAAAAGCTTGCAACTTACCTGGATCTTCACTTAGTAGCACAATGTCGTCTGCGTAGATGTAGATCTAGATCAGACAGCCTGCCACCTGGAAGTAAATCTATGCCACTATCCTCGCACGAGGATAGGACTGTTTCAAGAATTAAATCTATCATGAAGTTAAACAGAAACGGAGAGAAAGAGCAACGCTGTCGAACACCATTTTCGGTGGTGAACTCGGGTGAAAAGGTGCCATAAGCTCGGGCTGGGCTTTGGCTATTATTGTAGAGGGATTGTAATATTGAAATAAACTTCTCGGGCACTTCGTTCAGTGAAAGGCAGCGCAAGAGTTTAGAGTGGTCGACTGAGTCGAAAGCCGCTTTCAGATCCAGGAAGATAGAAATGGTGGGTCTACGAAAAGAGTGTTTATGTTCTAGAATTTGACGAAGTGTGAAGATGTGGTCGATACAACGTCGACCAGGTCTGAAATCAGCCTGGTTCTCACGCGTACACCGTTCACGTGCGGCAGACAATCGACGGAGTATGATACCGGCGAGAAGTTTAGAGGCAATATTAATTAAACTAATTCCTCTGTGGTTTTCACAAGAGGATCTGTCACGTTTCTTGTAAATCGGTATGATCACCGACTCACACCATTCAGCTGGAACCTCTTCCGTTTCCCATATTGAACCCAGAAGTTTTATTAACTCCAAAACTAAGGCTGAGCCTCTATCCTTAAAAACGGATGGGGACAGCTCGTCGGGGCCGGATGCCTTATGCCGTTTGAGGTAACTTATTTGTCGGGTAACCTCCATTTAAGATGGATGACTGATATCAACTGGCAGTATTTGCACAGTTGGAACGAGTGGGGGGAAGTCTTGTGTCGAAGGGGACCAGCTGAACTGTGCCTTAAAATGTTCTGCCCAACGTTCAAGACGGCGTTCCTGAATTTGAATCAGTGTGCCGTCAGACTCCTTAATTACCTCACTAACGCCTGCTCCTCTTGGTCCTGAACTCCTAATTAAACGAAAAAGATTGCGACTTTACCAATAGCCGCAGCCCTCTCCTTCTTCTCTTTACACTTTTCTACCCACCACTTCTCGCGGTCATTCCTCAGACTCTTGATGAGCTGGCGTTTAAGGGATTTGCGCGCTTTGTCGTATCTTGAATCCGAGGGAATGGCTTTGCGAGCGTCCATCAGGGCAACCGAGGTTGAGGAGATTCATCGTTTTTACCTTGATCGTGCGCCAGAGTTCATCGTTGTTTTGATTGAAAGTCGGATCGCTTCCTTGATTGCCGACCAGTGTTCGCTGAGTCCTCCGGCTGACGGTTGAGTTGAGAGGCGATCTGATAGTTTCGCGTCGAAGACCGATTTGCAACTGTCGGTGATAGTGTGTTGTGGGCATCCGTTTTCGGCGGCTTTTCTGCGGTTGTTTATCAGGCGTAGGCAGAATCTCGCTCTTAGCAGAGCATGGTCTGTATCCACGGGTGTTGACCAGTAGGAGCGGCAGTCTTCAATGGATCCTCTACAGCGGTGGCTGATGGCGATGTGGTCGATTTGAGTCCACCGCTGTGAAGAAGTTGGCGATCTCCATGTAAGGCGGTGCCGCTTTTTTGTGTAGAGAAGTTCGTGCTTGACAGAAACGGTCCGTGTTCAGCAAAGTTGGAGTAGGCGTTCTCTGTTGTCAGTCCTGTTGGCTGGGATTGCATGCGAACTGCCAAGTAACCTCTCTGATTCGTCCAGGGATCAACTTTGTCATAGAGTATGTTCTATAGACTGCTTCGTCCGGTCTAGTAAACGGTGGTATTTGGTAGTGGGCTTTGATTAGAAATCGACCGAAGAGTGCAGTGGTCATCAACATGATTGGGTTGTGAAGGACACTAGACACTTTTAACGGCCGACCCTGCGCAAAGGGTGTATGAATGGATAAACTGGAAACCGATCCCCCCAATGGATTGTGGTTTGCAACAACACCCAGCTACCTTCGGGGTCAGGTATTGGCTAACCGAATGCTCCAAACGTGAATAGCCTAGGAAAATAATCTGAATCGGCATGGGAAATTTAGCCTAAAACAAATCACGAACTGATTTCTTTGTTACCAAGGTTCTTGTACCGCTAGTTTTGGGTGAAGTACATACTCCGTAAGGTATGAAACACAACATAATTATAGCAAGAATACTAATGATAAGTTTACTTCAACTAGTACCTTGACATAATTTTTTTTACTTTTGTGCACTAGGTACCGTGAGAACACCTGGCACCTAGCAACCTTTTTACCTGTACCTTCACATCTCGTTTTGTTACGCCTAACTCAAACAATAACTAGGGTAAGGGAGAGACTTTGTCCCATATTCCGAACGGTATCTCTCGCACACCGTCTGAGCAAACGGTATGGGCATATTGCAGCTTTCTTCGTTTTTTACACGCCGAAATATTCGCATGTCTTGAAATGGGACTATACAGGTTTTTAGTACGTTGTTTTTCATACGGGGATGGCTAAGCAGGAAAGCCGATAGTAAATTGTGCATCTTAATCCATGCCGGTAATCTCCTCCGCCCGTCAGTCCCGCACCTGAGTAAAAAACGCATCCTTCCTCTTGGTCCCAAAAACACTGGTCCGAACGTTGGTGTCAGATCACTTACCCGAGCCTCCTTACGCCCAACGAGACCACTGTAGGTATCGAAATCTAAAATTAAATATCTTGTTGTTTATGCAATGTGGACTGGATGATGGAGGTAACAAATTTTGAATTTTACTTGAAAGGTCGACAGATGAGGGAAAACTGGGCCAGCTGCGTAGAAAGAAAGCACCTAGTTCAGAAAATAAGACAACTCGTCAGATGATCATAAGGAATTACGAGAAAAAAATCAATCAGGCTTGAATTATCCTTTCAATTGCAAAACCATGCGTCTATAGCCATAGGCTGGTATTGATATTTGTTGTGCATTTTCCTGATAGACAATTGATCGTTTAATGGTACAAAACTATTTCCCCGGGAGGTCATGCGTCTCACAGGGCTGTTTTCACATGCGGCATTAATTGTATATCCGTACACGTTTCTGAGCGGTGTGTTTCTGTGGTACAGCATACGAATCCATCACACTATGTACGGTAGGTTATTTATGGACTTCGTCTGTGCTATCGGATCAACGTAACCTTGAACAAGCAAACTGAAAAGTTCAATTATTCAAATGACACCGTTCAACTGTGCCCATGGTCTGTCATCACAAAGCCCGCTATAGAATGCAGTGAGAAACATCCAGTTTACCGGTAGCTCACTACACATTTAATTATTTTATAGCTTCTCTCGCAACAAAGGTACAATTACCGGGTAGGAAGGCCGTTGCGATTAGATCTGTTACCTCAACCAATCAAATTCTCAAGGTATTTTAGGCTGTTGCATAAGTTCATGTTCAAGTTACACGAAATTATTTGTTCTACAAAGAATTTTTTATGTTTGGCAATGTGTTATATACCATTAGAAAGCTATGCTTTACAAGATTGAAATAATCGTTTTTGCCTGTATTATGTTTTGTCTTTTTTTAGCAACGACAAATGGATTGTCAAGTCGATAAAAAATCCCACTTTCGGCACCTTTTCGCCTCTAATTGAGGTCAAAAAGCGAGTGAAGCAAACTGAGATATTCGTGCCGTGTATAGGGAGAGGACGCTATAGCTGAGAGAACTGCTCGGGAATGGTTTGCCAGAATTGGCTCTACTTTTTCGAGACACGACTTAAGGATTTAGGGCGAAATGGAATCAACAAACTGATGGAAACATGGGAAGAAGTAGTGAGCAATGATGGAGAGTAGATAATTGACCGAAGTATTATTATTTTGACTGTTAAAATTTTATGATTTCAGTAAATATATAATTTTGATTGTTAAAATTCTTTGATTGCTTTGAAAACAAATGTTTAAAAATCGGCGGGAACTTATGTAACAACTCAGCAACAACCAACACCATACATTAAGTCAGATAAAAACAACAAAAAAGCGCTGTATCAGGGAGAACGTCCGAGATTCCAATTAGAGGTTGCATACGATTAAATGAATGACAGCCACGAAAATCTTCAACTAACTTTGACATATTCGGCTGTTTGGGCCGCAGGAACCGGGGGAAGAAGAGCTTGACTGCTGACCACAACTACTGGACGTTTGGCTTGAGACAGAAGCCACACTAACTGATCAATACTCTTTGTTGAAGGCCACGGAATAGAGGGCACCAGAACAGGAATCTGAGTCGGTTCTTGGCCTGGCAAACACGGTTTGATTTGAAATCCGTTGGCGAATAGACGAAAGAGATAGAATCGCAAGTACCTGAAAGGAAGATGGATAACGGGAGAAATTTTGAATGAATTGAATACATTTCCACTAACATGGGAAAGGTATCCCGGAAAGTGATTGACAGCAAAGCTAGTTCAATCGGATGAGCAACCTGCAAGATACATTAGCATGTAAATTATCAGCAGAGGAACATTGATCTGTTTATATATTGCAATTGCTGTCTTCCAGTTTAGTTCAGTTTTTACAACAATTAATCATGCAGTTTTGGTTGCTGTCTTCAGACAGAGCCTCGGGTAGACGAGTTAAGAGTTACACCGAGGAATGGAATGATAAAATACGACTGCGGGAGATGAGAAAATTCACGCGTATCATTGTTCATGTCAGTTATATAACCTACAGTTCCCGACCACGGAAATTGCTGTTGTGTAGAGACCCAAACGGGAGACCTAACACGACCAAGTTTACCGGACAAGGTTTGTATTATCTTGGCACCAGATCGCGGTCTCAGCACTCCCGGAGATTTTATCGAATTTCCATCTTCGATAAACATTACACGCCGGAAAATCTATACATAGGAAAGCGTAACAGATGCCACAGCTATTATGATCGAAAAAGTAAAATCGATCCTCCAGGTTGAAACACTAAATGCTCCCGCATTTGTTTTGTCAAATCTTTAAAATGATGCACACAAAGCGGTGTGTAATCACTGTCGATCTTCGTTCACTATTCAAAGAAAAAGGCCGTGATTTCTAGCTACTTGATAAGGAGGTGCGCTCCACTGCAGCACCCGACCGACTCCACAAGAATAGGGGGATGATATGCATTTCTCTTTCGAATTAACAATACATAAACAGGCGCCGATTCTCTTACCAATTGGTGAAGCGCTGTCTCCAAGATTGTGGATTATCAGAAATACGAAGATGTTGTCGCACAAGACCGTATGGGTAAAGTGTATCAATCGGAAATTCCACAAGGACGGGGCCTGGCGAGAAAAAGCGAAACATATGATTATATGATAGTATGAGGAATTAGTGGACAAGATCACTTTTAAACATCCCAGCGACGGACACAAAGATTAGAAATGGATAGAAAAGGAGGCAAAATAAAAGTAATGTTTTTCGATCAGATTTGTAAACAGAGAATAGGAGGTGAGATGAAGTCGTGTGGCTAAGGTCAGCAAAATAATGACGGGTGGTCGTAAGTTCGCATCCCGCAATACCATCTTCCCCATTTCTGTATTTCATCAGGTAGTCTTTGTTTAGCTGACGACCCCTACTTTGAAATTGAGTGCATATTGGTAAACTCGATGATGAAAACAAGGAAGTAAAAACATTCATTCATTTAATATTAAGAATTGCGAAATACTGGATAGGGAAGGAGATCCCTTTGAAAACATCAACCGCAGGCCGTTGTTGGACATAATATACGATCAGTATGCAGTTGAGCTATTTCAATCTCAGGCCAATTTCACATGACCAGTCTGCTGCTGTTGATCGATTTCATCTGCGCACCACCAAAAATAAACGGAGTACACATTCCACAAAACGGAAATCAGCGGAACAATTAGATACTGCTTAACGCAATCAACAATTACAGTTCATACACATGATAGTACGTACATTTTCAGTCATTCGCACATTTGAGAACCCTTTGGTCACACGGCGAACAGAAAGTTTGCTTTTGACAACAGCTCAGGAATTCGGCAAACCAGGTTCAATTCCGTTCCGTTCAGCTTTTAAAACCATTACTCATGCATGTTTGTTCGCCGGTTTTGGTTACTGACTTTCAGCTACCCAAGTTGGATAAAAGAGCGGATGAATGATTACAACGTTGAGAGCAGAAACAAAGAGAAGATAGAGAATCCACATAAACTGGGTTTGAAACAATAATGAGTAGACGCAAGAGCGCCACTCAGCCATATCATTCAGTGTTTCTAACCATGGGTTATCATGATTTCGGGATCCCCATTCAGTGAGCCTAACGGGACCTATATGACCTATATGACCGAGTTTCCAGATTAGTTTTCATGGTGTGATGGCTTGCGTGCCTCCATGACCTTGCGAGCTACACAGGATAGCTTCTCACAGCCGTAGATCCAATCATGCCTGAAAGGTTAACGGGTAGAGGCCAGACGAAGACCAGTCTCACAAGGCCAGCTGCTTGGACACCTCCTGGCTTCCTTCTT